CAATTCATTATCCCATTAGATTTGTTGACTACGTTTCAGGGGGCTGAGTGTAATTATCGATACCACAGGAGACCTTACAGTTATTTAAGCTTACCTCAGGGGGGTGTGTGTAATTTACCCCTATAATTAATTAGTGGAGTTTATCAAGATGGATTTCAATTCTTGAATAAATAAATGGTCCACTCCAATGTGTATATATAGAAATTAAAAAAATCAGAATATATCCCATCATCAATGGATAAGAGATAACATGATAAAGTTTAAACTAAAAAGAAAAGGCATAGGTTCTCCTAAAATGTCAACGCAATTCAACATTGTAGATTACAACGGTCTTTGAGGTAAAGTTTATTTACGAAAAAATCCCTTTTTTTTTTTATAATTACATCCAGTCCTGCAATTTGTAGACTTCTTACATCAACACCCTTTTGTAGAGGATCGTTGTAAGAAATTTACAAACTGCAGGGAGTTTCGGAGTTGGATGTAATTTCTAAAAAAATAAGGTGTTTTTTTGTAGATAGACTTTACCTTAGGGAGTTCGTTGTAATTTACCCTATGCATATAAACTTTATGGGCATGTGTCTAAATTGTGGCCAACATGGAGTGAATAGATGTTGGTATCGAATCTAGTTTAGTTAATTAGATAAATAATATTCCAATTAATTAATATAGTTTATTCTTTTTCATCAATCAATTCTAACACTTGGTTTATATATATTTGGAAATCTTTGCATCGTTTAGAACAAATTTAGTTATTCCGTTTTTCCATTGAGTTTGATTTTTTTTGGTGAAGATGACAATTTAACCCGCTCCGTCTCGCTCTAGATTTATCGACTAATCCCTGTCCTGTTAGCTAATGGTTATGGGTATGGGGTTTAAAAAATTAATTTGATATATATCTAAACTTATAGCTAGTCATGATATTGCTAATTCTATTGATGAGTTGGTCTCTATCAAACTCGTATCTAGTCAATTCAAAATTTGATTGATATAATAAATTACATACATATATATGGGACAACAAAGTAATACATATATATATATATATATGTGTGTGTGTGTGGATGAGTTTCAATTGGGGATAGAGGTAGAAGACAATATCAAATATGATTAAACCACTACATAAAGATAAGTTTGATACATCAATCTTGATTTATAACATATGGTGGGGGAGTGTAATCACAAAATAATTGTAAAGGAAGAACAAATCTTGTGACAAATTAAAGGACAGTGTGCACTAGAATTGCTGACGATCGAAGTGCACTGAAGAAATAATACTTTCGTATTGGCTGGCAAATCGTAAGAAAAAATGTAAATTATAGTCTAGCTGAATATATAATTATATATACGTGACAAACTCGATCTAAAAGATGTTGACAAATTAATTCAAACTCGATCAAGCGTGCCCTTTTGCTTCCCTAAAACTAATTTTGTAACTATATATGTGTGCGACAAACTCAATCGAAAAATTATTTGGCAAAATAGTTCAAATTCGAGTCGAATATATATGCATTGGTTTTTTGTTTTTGTTTTTTTAATTCCACTAATTAGACAACTCCTAATGGGACCGTACATGTGTTGTATTTGTTTTGTCGCACGTTAGGGGTTCTTTCTATTTTTATGTATTATCCATTTGGTGAAAGTGGATGTTGATTCACATGTGGTTGTTAAGAAGCCACGCCGACAAAATTTCAAGTGGTGCCTTTTTGACAACAAACTTTGTCATTACATTCACTTAATTGCTAATGCATTGCATAGGACATATTCAAGAATATATTATTACCTAATAAAAGTAAAATAAAATTAGTAATTTAATCGATGATTAATTTCGGTCGTAACCTAAATTAAAGTCCATGTATGGTTTGGGCTTAAAAAGATATTGAATGTTAGTCCTAGGATAGGTAGTAATCGGGCCCAAATGTAGTCCAAAATAATTTAATCTTACACGTGTCCAAGCAAGCCCATATATACAAAATAATTTAATTTAGTTTTAATCTATGTATAACTATTTCAACTTTAGGTAAATAAAATTAATTTGTCCTTATGTTTATTTCATTCTTACTTTTTTTAGGCCAAAATTTATGGTGAATTTAGACATATCTATAATGATTCTTTCGAATTTTTAATTGATTTATAAATAATAAAATAAACGTACTACAAATCGTATAAACGTTGTGTGTCACAATATGACAACAGTTTTCACAATATTCGTCCTGCGTCGCACAGGTGTATTACTAGTTTTATTATATTTCCAAATCCTAAAACCAATCACCACAAAATCACACATTCTCTATATTTCTCTATCTACCAATATGAGCGACGAAAGAATCCATCTCCGACCACGTAACGCCACCTTCCGCCACAGCACTCCTAACATCCCCGCCCAACTCCTCCGCCCTCCGCCGCATCTCTTCCGACCCCATCAATTCCTTCACCGCCACAGCAACCGCCTCGGCCGTCACAATCTCATCCCTCCGACCCCAATCCTTCACAACCACCCCAATTTTCAACACCTCCGTGATCAAAACGGCGTTCCTCGGCTGATCGGAGTGCATCGGCCAGGCGGCAATCGGAACGCCCATCGAAATACTCTCCATGCAAGAATTCCATCCGCAGTGGCTCATAAACCCTCCGGTGGAAGAGTGTCGTAAAATCTCCAACTGCGGCGCCCATTCTCTCACTACAATCCCTCTCTCTCTAACTCTCTCCTCAAACCCTACCGGCAGCTCGGCTTTTCTAATCCCGCCATTTTCGATTGAATCTCCTTTATCTGCATCTCTCAAAACCCAAATGAATTTCGCTCCACTTTCTTCGAGCCCGTTCGCCAGTTCTTCGATTTGTTCGTCGGAAAAGGAAGTTGTGGTGCCGAAAGAAACGTAAATCACCGAGGATCTCGATTCTTGTTCGTCAAGCCACTTCAGACAACGGTGTTCGGAAGATTTCTTCTCCGTCGACCCGACCGGATTGAACGGCCCGATAGACCAATGTTTCTTGTTCCCGGAAATCTTTTCGATCAAGTCCATGAATCTGCCTTCGACGGATCTGCACGAGTTGTAGAGGCTGCCGGAGCTCAGTCCGACGTGGCCGTGTTCGGAGACGATGAAATCCATGAACTCCGTCGTGAAGCAGTCTTCAAGAGAAGGGACCTTGTTCTGCAGTTCGGTTTCGATCGTCGGTTTCGGTTCGATTTTTTCTAGGGTTTCGTAGAAGTACCAGAAAATGGCGAAGGCGGAGATGCTGTGGAAGACGTACGTTTCGGCGTTCGGTACGGAGCCCACGTCCTGTACGACGGACGCCATTAGTGAGTCGTGGATCACGACGACTCTGCGGGCGGTTCCGGAGAGGGAGCGGAGGAGGGCGGCGAGGGGCTGCCGGAGGTGGCGGGAGGCGGCGTTGAAGAGGGGCTGGAGGTGGGAGGGGAATTTGTTGGCGGCGTTGGGGTTGGGGTTTGGGGAATGGAACTCCGGGACTGGGAAACCGTGGAAGTGGAGGTTGTTATTGGCGGCGGCGCGTGGGTCCCAACCGCCGTGGTCTCGGAGCTTGGCCTGGCGGGTGTGGGTGGAGGTGGAGACGTAGTGGACGGGTACGTTGTAGGCGGCGATAAGGCGGCTGAGCTGGAGGAGCTGGTTGAGGTGGCCCTGTGCCGGTAGTGGCACCATTACCACCACCACTTCTGATGAATTTGGGCCGTTTTTGCCGGAGGAATGGCGGTTTCCGGCCATTGGACGAGAGTTTGTATATTTTTTTATTTTTTATTTTATTTTTTATGATTGTTGATCTAAGGTTATTAATAAGATGTGGAAATTCTTGTTGATTGATATTAAATTATTAATTAATTAATTAATTACTGGTGGCTGCGATGATTTCTATGGATGGAAATTGGATTTGTATATTTTGTTGGTATTAATCAAAAAGTATGTTCTTGTTTTTTTCACTCACATTATTACTTATTCGTGCTGTCATGCATGTTTGTCGTATTGAATTGTATCATAAAATTTAACGAGGGGCAATTTCGTAAATAGTTTTGGACACTATGGTGGTGTTTGCAGACGCTTTTTCAAAGTGATTATGAGTTTTTTTTAGTTCAAAATCATTTATTTTTAAACATTTAAAAGCTCATAATCATTTTGGAAAAGCGTTTGCAAACGCCACCTAATACTATTTCAGATTATGAAAATTGAATTTTTGTAATTTGCTAAAAGATAAGTTTTTTGTTTTTCGGTCTATCCGTCTAGCTAATTACACTCCGTCAAATAAGTAATATCCATGCTCCACGTCACTCTCATCTTCGAAGCTATGCCACACACATGCATACACACACACGCGCGCACACACATACGATTTTAGTTACACTATTTCTTCCACTGTAACTTAATAATCATGAAAACCGAAAAGAAAAAATATGAAAAATTTGTTTGATGATGGAAGATGGTAATACTGGTGCTTATGTAAATAAACTTTTTAAGTTGTCTAATCAACCCACACTTTATAGTAAAATTAATTATTGAATTTGATTGTTTAAGAAAAAAATCAAAATGGGACCCAAGTTAATTAATAACATAATTTAATAGGTTCACCAACTTTAGTTTATATTATACTCCTAAAAACCTATAAATGGAATATTGCCCATGTTTTCGCGGTAGCCACATATGTTTGTGGCTTCATCACTGTCCATGAGCTGGATTTAATTTTCTTTTAAAGAAAAAAGAAAAAGAAAAAGAAAAAGAAAGGTTAGGGATAATATATTTATGAAATAATTAAAATGTTTGCCAATTAAATAAAATGATCATTAAGAAAATTATTTGATGCTTTTATGCATTTGAATCATTAAATTGTGTGACTCCTCAAGACCCTACCATGAAAATATTTATTTAATGATCCATGTGGGTGTTTTATTGTACGTCCATATCAACGAATTTTATTTTTTGATTTTTTAAAGTTTATTTAATGATCGATCACGTGCGAGGTCTTGCATTGGCCTCGTTTAATCATAAGTGCTAGATTCTTTGAATTTTGTTCAACAAAACACCACACAGTACATCGAAAGTTGAATTGATATTTATCCTAATAAACTAAATTATAATTTGCTTGCCGTTTGCATCGTCCTGCTGCACCTTTTAATGAAAAACTGACATGCGGTCCTTAACGGTGAGTCAAGAGAAACCGGAAGTTTTTCATCAGTTTTTTTTTTCTTAAAGTTTCATAAAGTCCGAAGTCTGATCTGCAATCGATATTGAAGTTTTGTAGAAATGAGAAAGACAAAGGAATTGGAGGGTATAAAATGCTATTTTTTTAGTTTAAGGGTGCAAAGTGCAAAAAACATGTAGCTCGAGGGTGCAAATTGCCAATACCCAAAATTGGGCCTAGTCTACGTTCAAAATCAACTGCTCTTAATGTAGAACAGCAATTGGGCCTGATTTACTGTAGCCCAACATTGTAAACTTTTATTTAAAAAAAAAAGAAAAAAAAAAATAGAAATTTAATTTTTTGTTTTCTTCTTTTTCCAAACACTTGATTGATTATGATTATCCTAATATTTATTGTGTTGGATGGATAGGATCTAATACAAAATGTCCAATCAATAAAATAGTGTACGAATCTTGATTGTAAAAGAAAATCTTACGTCTTGTCAATTAGTTAAGAAACAATTTCAACAAATAAATACTTATAAAACAAATAAAAAAAAATCAACAAATATATCACGAAGAGATTTCCATGTGATGTGACAGGCATTTAACAAATTAAAAAAAAAAACACAACATCCAATATTACGTAGTCAGATCTACTACACCATGAAACGAAACATACGATTGATAGTTAATCAATTGGTATTACAACCAGATTCCTCGAGTAAGTTCAAATTACGAAAAAATAATTTTTATTCGAATAATTACATTTATACCCTTTAGCTGTGAATCTAATTACATGTTCATTCTTATGGTTTCAATTTCAATATAATTGTCTAGATTACGTGGAATGTTCTCTAATTTATACTTGTTTTGTGCAAATACGCAGTTTCTAATGCACCACAATCTAGTATTTACACGCCACAAAATATATTTTATGATCATCTTATTTCAAAATGTGGGGCTCGAATGGAGTAAAAATGATACAAACTTGAGAATATTCCACATAAAAGTAGATTCTATACATTTGACATTCGCAAGAATGAACGTGTAAGAATATTTATAGTCGATAAATAGTTGTAATTACCCAATCGGAAGGGTATTTTTGTAATTTAATATTACTCCAGTAATGTCTATAATTTATTCTTTATATTCCAAAGAATTCTTTAGATAGTCTACAATCTGCATGTGACCTAAGAATAGAAAAATATAACATAGTGCCAAAATCTTTATCGATCTTATCAATTCTTGAAAGCAAAGTTGTATACAATGGCCAACAATCCCACCACCCAAAAAAGCCAAGTGGCGGTGGTGATGGTGCCGCTTCCGGCGCAAGGCCACCTCAACCAGCTCCTCCACCTCTCCCGCCGCATCTCCGCCTACAACATCCCCGTCTACTACGTCGGCGCAGCCACCCACATCCGCCAGGTCAAGCTCCGCCGCCACCTCGCCGCCGACGAAGACATGTACATACATTTCCACGAATTCCCAACACCCCATTTCGAAAACCCGCCACCCGACCCGAATTCGCCCCACAAGTTCCCCTCCCAGATTATCCCGTCGCTAAAAGCGTCGACCCATCTCCGGCAACCCATCTCCTCATTCGTCGGCGCGCTCTCGACAAATTTCAGAAGGGTGGTCGTCGTCTTCGACTCTCTAATGGCGTACGTTGTCCAGGACATATCCAACGCCGACTGCTACACTTTCCGCAGCATCTCCGCCGTCGCCGTCGCCTCGTGGGAAGCCAACGCCGCCGCAGACGAAAATTGCCCGACGGAAGCCCGCAACATCCTGGAACAAACCCCCTCCATGAAAGGTCACTACCCACCAGAATTTCAAGAATTCCTCAACCTGCAAACAAGTTCAAAAAAAGTTTCCGGTGGGGAGATTTACAATTCATGCCGAGAAATCGAAGGCCCGTACCTCGATTTACTCGCCAGAAGAAAGATTAATAACGACAAAGAAGAAGAAGAAGAAGATCAAAAGATATGGGCTTTAGGCCCGTTTAATCCTCTCTCATCACTCCCCTCCTCAAACCCTAATAATAAATGTCTGAGTTGGCTCGACAAACACGGCCCGAACTCAGTGATTCTCGTCTCGTTCGGAACAACGACGTCGTTCTCGAACAAGCAAATCGAAGAGATTGCATTAGGGCTCGAGAGAAGCGAGCAGAAATTCATATGGGTGCTTCGAGAAGCAGATAAAGGTGACATCTTTACTACTACAAAAGAAATCAAGAAATTTACAGAACTGCCACTCCCCGAGGGTTTCGAAGAGAGAGTGAAGGAGAGAGGGCTTGTTCTGGTGAATGAGTGGGCCCCGCAGCTGGAGATACTTGGACACGTGTCGACGGGTGGGTTTCTGAGCCACTGCGGGTGGAATTCTTGCTTGGAGGGAATTAGTATGGGGGTGCCGATGGCTACTTGGCCGCTGCATTCCGATCAGCCGGCGAACGCTGCGCTGGTGACGAAGGGTTTGAAGATTGGTGTGGAGGCGAAGAAATGGTGTGTGGAGGAAGGGGAAGTGGTGACGTCAGCGGATGTGGTTGAAGAGGTTGTAAGGAAATTGATGGTGTCGGAGGAGGGTGGTTTGATGAGGAAGAGGGCGGCGGAGTTGGGCGGTGCTGTGAGGGATTCTTGGATGGAAGGTGGTGCTGCCAGGGAGGAGATGGAGGCGTTTATCTCTCACATCACTAGATAAAAAAAAAAATTAATCTTTTTTTTGGGTTTTAATTAATTTGTTTGAAGTTTGATTGAATTGTATAGTTGAGGATAAATTGTGTATTTTTTGTGAGCTGATATGGATTGTGTTGTAAATTATGTTTTATGTTTGACTGGTCTTTAAGCTTTGTTCATTTGCTAGCTAGCAGTGACATATGCATTTGCACGTAATTAAGAATTTTAATTTATTAAATTATTAATTAACGATGAATTACGTGTCAATCCATGAGGTAAGGTCAAATTACGCCGACAAAGGTGACATATTCAACGGCGAGATCAGAAGAGCGCCGCTGCCGGAAAACTACGACGAGAGGGTACGAGGAAGGGGGGTGGTGCTGAGGGAGTGAGCCCCGCAGCTGGAGATTCTCCGGAACCGGTCGACGGGGGGTTTCGTCACCCATTGTTGGTGGGAATTCTTGCATGGAGAGCATCAGCATGGGGGTGGCGGGGGCGGTTTGGCCAATATAATATGCATTCCGACCAGCCGAGAAACGCCGTGTTGATGACGAAAGTGCTGAGGATCGGTTTGGAGTTTAAGGATTGGTCGCGGCGGGAGGAAGTGGTGACGTCAGATGACGTTTAAAAGATTGTTAGAAGACTGATGGGGCTCCGGCGGCGGAGGTAGGGTTTTCTGTCAGGAAATCTGTGAGGTTAGCTCCAATGAATTGGACTCTTTCATTGCTCATATCACTAGATAATATAATTCTTTCGTTGTTGGAAAATAAATAAAGTCTGATTGTAATAAAATGAATCACATAAAGTTTTCGATTTTTGGTCTAATAAATTGGATAGAAACTGACTATATTTTCTAATTATATTACTAGATTAGGGCATGTTTGGTTAAGCTTATTAAACAGCTGATAAACTCTAACATCCGGTAATCTATTTTAAAAGTTGATAACCTGTCACGACTTATTTGTAGAATAATTTTTAAAGTGTTTGGATAATGAACTTTAAGCTATATCAACTCATTATAAGATGTTAAACAAAAAGGTTTTAAAAGCTATTCAGCTGGCTTATTTTTAAATTTTTAAGATTTAAAAAAAATTACTAAACAATTTAAAAGAGCTTATTAGCTCTTGAACATTTTATAAGCTCTTTTTAATAGCTTATAAGCTTTTAGCCAAACACACACTAACTTACAGCAATGGAGCAAACTAAATCAGCATCTGTGTATACACTAACCTTATCTATCAAGGGGAAAACAAAAAAACTATTAAACTGAAATGAATCTTTTTCGGTTCCTGTATTAGTAACATACGAATTCTCTATTTATTATTATTTTTTTTTGGGTTAAAATACTAATAACAAATCAATGGCTGCAGAGATTCTTGATAACTTCTTCCTGAGCATACCAGCTCGGTATAATCTTGGGAATGTGAGGGTAAAGATCCTTGTAAGAATTCCGTATCGTCCCTTCAGCAACTCCGGTGGCAACCGATACATCTGTTGTTAATCCGTACATTTCATTTAATTAGGCCTCGTTCTTTGTTGGTAAAAGGTCAACACAATTAATTCGATAGCGAGAGCTTTTACCTTTGAATAGCTTTTTATCTTCTGAAAGCTGAGTGACTATGTAAATAACAGCTGCTGCAATGGAAATAGGGCTCCTCCTGAATATCACAGCCAAGAAAATAATATCACTAGTTAATTAGAGTTGAAGGGTAGAACTCAATTACGGGAGGGCGGGGGGTTCGGGTAATTTTTCGAATCCGAGAGGGGCCTATGTGCAATAATCCAGCATATATGGTATACCTTATGTCGAATGCTTCCGTCTTTTGGACGGCTTCTTGGGCAGCTTTAACCGTTTGATTTGCCATTCCGAGGTTAGAACAAAAGCGTCTCTGAAAGAGTAAACGTGTTACGTTTCAATGTTCTTTTGATTCATTTATAAAATAAAAAAATAAAATAAAAATTATTACCATGAAATCTCCAGCGTGTATAGTCCCTATCTCAACCGACTGCCCCATCTCAAGTTGTAGATGTTTCATGATATATTCTTTTGCTCGTCCAACTTCCTTCTTAGTTGCCCCGTTGGCAACGGAGCAAATTTCTATTACAAACTCACAGGTTCAGGAAAAAAAAAACTCGTCTACACAGATAAAATGAGAAAACTTTCGAGTAGTAAAAACAGAGATTTTTTTACCTTTTACAGTCCGGGGCTTGTCTTCTTGACGACACGCTATGTACAAGCAAGCAGCATAAATGGCGTCCTGATTTCTTCCACGGCTCGACTTTTGATCTTCGATCCTCTTGTAAATCTCATTAGCCCGATCCTTAATGTGGTGGAATTACAGCACCGTAAAAAAATATGGAATAAAACCGAGAAGTGCAACATAGAGAATGGAAAACGATGATTGCAGCAAATATTTGTGATGGTGAACAAAAACCATTGATAAATATGGTAATTAGTATCGAGACGAGAACCAAGAAATTTTCTTTCGCATAAATCAGTACAAAAAAAGTTCATTCATCAAACTGAGGTTTTTCAATGGTATGACAGATATGCCGATAGCAATTCAAAACAGGTACCTTAATCGTTGCAACGAGGCCCAACCTGAAAAATAACATTAGCAACATCAGATATGTATTCGACTATTTCAATTGTTCGGATAATGATTCCGAAAAAAAAAATTCAAATCAACGAGAACCAAGATCACTACAATCGTGAACATTTATCAGCATTGTAATCTCTAAGTTCCGAAGAAAACGTTGAAGATTCATATCAAAAAAATCGACAAAATCATTCGACATTAACCCAAATCTTCAACACATGTGCATATGACACAAACAAGCCCCAAAGCATAATTAATGCTTCTAAAATCACAGTAATTAACCATCGTAATTAAATATTTTACTCTTAATTTAAAAAAATAATAAATAAAAAATTATGAACAGTAAACCAGCCAAAACAGGACAAAATACAAAAAAAAAAATAGGAATCTACCAAACAGGCCCTTAAATGTCAAAATTAAAAAAATCAGGAGAGAGAGAGAATTTTAGAGAGAGAGAGAACAAAAGCATTCACCTATCCGACATAGTAGCAATAGTCTGGAAAGCAAAAACGAGAGTCCGATAAGTGTTGGAGCCGCGGTTCTGCCACCGTCCGATCGAAGACGTCAGGAGATCGCCGGCGGTGCCGTTCGGCTTCGAGATAACAGTGGACAGACCAGCGTCAGCCAGCAGCGGGTTCGTCGGTCCACCAACCCGAGCCGGATCGTTGTCGCCGCACTCATCGGCGAAGGTCCGCCACTCGGAGGTTTCATCAATGGAGTGAGATTCCAGCACGAGGCCGCAATCGGAGCAAACAGTGTCCCCCGCCGCGCGATCGAGAACCACCTCCGTCCTCCGCTTGCAGTCGGAGCAGTGCACATCCGCCATTAATTGCTGCTTCAAACCCTCGTCAATTTTAATTTTGTTTTTTTTTTCTGGTGAAAATGGAGTGCAATATATATATAGAAGGGTTTGAGAGGGGTAGAGAAGTCACGTGTGATTCATGGATTGATTGCTGGACTGGGGATTTATCTGATATTTAATTTGCATTTAATTTTTTTGTTTTGTATTTTATCAGAAAGATCAGAGAAGAAAGAAACTGATAATTCTTTTTCCGTTTCGGAATTAGTGGCAATGGAATGGATTTTTCCGTCAACTTTTTTCTTTTTCCGATCTGTTATGGCAATTATGGCAAAGTAGCATGAATTAATAATTAATGATTATTAAATATGGCTGGGTTTGGTCAATCTTTCTTTGGATTTAAATAATAAATATTTTAATGTGACGATTGGATTTAAATAAATTAATAATTCTCTATACATTTTCCAAAAAATAAATAAATAAAAGGAATTGATGACGTAATACATTGAAAATACTGAAATAAGTTTGACAATTTCAAAAAAAATTAACATTTATCCCTACTCATTTAGATAGGAATAGGGCTCGGACTAGGTTGAATTTTATCAAACAATCGATACAATGAATAATATTGTTTTAATCGGCTCATTGGATCAGGTTAAAATTTTCAACTAACACATCTATAATGAGGGTTTCTAATATTATTAAACATCGATTGACCAATAATTATCGATCAACCAACTATATTAATAAAAGGGTAAAATTATGAAATAAACGGCGTAGTTTTTTAAGTGATTATTGAAACTTATCAAAATATAGATAATTTTTTAATTAAAAAAAATGACATAGATCTTATACTAGAATTTTGGAATGTGCATCTTCAGAATTAGTTTGAACTTCGATTACATTTTTTTTGGAGTTACTATTAACTATTTTGAACTGATTATAAATGATGATGGCACCGTGGCACTAGGCAAAATGTCAAAATGTGTATACTTTTGCTCTAAATTTTTTTTTTTTTTTTAATTAAACTAGGTGACAGGTGTACCCATCAACCGACCAATTTCGAAACCAAATATTTAGTTATCAACAATCAACCGACCCACAAAGATTGGATCGACAATGCTTTTCAAATCTGAACAAAATTGGTTTATCGGCTGAGGTAGGTTAGTAGACTGATCACTGACCGACCTAATCCAGTCTCAGGCCTCAGCCCTAGATAAGAATGTCGTATATAGATGAAACAAATTTCCAATCCATTTTTTTTAACAACATTCGAAAAAAATTCGATTCTAAACCAATATTTTTTTTCCCCATTTTATAGAATTTTAAATTCTAGAAAATAAAATAAATAAAATTAAAAAACACATTTTCTTTTCTCAAGAAAGAAAGTTCCAAAAAGTAGAATCTGCATCCAAGAAACAACCTACATATGACAAGAGAGTAACAACATCAATGAAGTTATCAAACAATTCCTTAAGCAAAAACGATGTCCGATAAACAACTCACCGAATAAATCAATGACTCGTGTACGAAATCAAAAAGGGTTTCGTATAATATATTGTATCCCTTCCAACAACAAAATATAAAATCACGAGTGTTTTTTCATGCTTTCGGGCTGCTAAGATTCTTGAGGTCTCTTTCCTTAGCATACCACTCAGGTATAATCTTGACCGCGTGCGGGAACAAATCCCGATAAGCATTCTTTATCGTCCCTTCTGCAACTGTCGTAGCAATAGAAATATCTGCAACCGTAATAATATAAATTATATAATTCCATTTCGATGAAGCAATGAATGCATCGGGAATGTCTAGAACTAAAGACGTAAATTCTAGAAGTTTCCGAAAAATGAAACAAGACGGTATAGAAGCTCAAACCTCGAAGGGGTTTCTTCGATTCCGAGAGCTGTGTTACCATAAATATGATTGCTGCAGCAATCGATATAGGGCTCCTCCTGCAATAATACAAGTACGGGTATTTTCGTTATTTCTTACATGCAATTTATTATGAAAAATAATTAAGATATGAAAACCGAAGAAAATCGAAGTACCTAATATCGAAATCCCCGGCCTTTTGGACAGTTTCTTGGACAGCTTTTACCTCTTCATGGCTCATACCAAGATTCGAGCAGAACCTCCTCTGCGAAACAAAATTAAAAAAATAAATAAATTAAGAGATATTAATAACCATATAAACTGAAAATTAAAACGAAGGCCAAAAAAAAAAAACCGGAAAAATCGAAAAGCTCACCAGATAGTCACCAGCATGAATGGTACCCATCTCCATTGATTCACCCATCTCAACCTTCAACTGTTTGACGATAAATTCTTTCGCTCGGCCGATTTCCTTTTTGGTAGCTCCAGCAACAATTGAGCATATTTCTAGTTTGGAGGGGGGCCCACATGATTTAGATGACTTTTTCATAACGGGGGGTTATATCGAACATTATTTTTACCAATGTTCAAATAAATTATAAAGTTGGCACCTTTAACAGTGCGCGGTTTGCCCTCTTGTCGACAAGCAATATAAATACACGCAGCCACAAGTGCCTCCAAGTTTCTTCCTCGTGTACACTTTTGATCTTCCAACCGTTTATATATCTCATTCGCCCGATCCTTCAAACAAAAACCATCATTACAAACCCGAAACGTGAAAAAGAAACATTTTTTAAGGTATCGTTTTGCGCACGTTTCGACAGAGGAAAAATCGAGTGTGTGCATACCTTAATGGTTGTCACAAGGCTCAACCTGGAACAACAAGGCAGCAACAAATATTAATGTTAGCTTTCTCGATTGCAAATTTATCAATTGGATGGAACATACATCGAAAATCGATTTAGTTCTTCAACGAACAATTCTTGTCAAAAGGGCTCGACTAAATAATCGTTAAGTTTCTATGTTATCTAATGTACGAACTGCTATTCCATAAAACAAACAAAGCATCATCATTCGCGAAAACAACCAGAAATCGCAAGACTAAAGCATTTTCATCACAATTGTTCCTTAAATTCAAGAAACATCCTAAATTAGAAATTAAAAAAGTTATCTTGATTATCCCATCACAATTCAATCAAACAATTAAACCCAACAAACCCCAGAAAAAAGAAAAAAGAAAAAAAAAAAAAAAAGAGCAGACCTGTCAGCCATGTTAGCAATGGTCTTAAAAGCCAAGACAATAGCCCGGTCGGGATCCCCGCCCCGGTTCTGCAACCGGGCGAGGGTCGGATCCGCGTTCGACCCGTTGGCGCCGCGAGAGATGACAGTAGAAAGTGCGGCGTCAGCGAGAAGCGGGTTAACGGGTCCACCGACACGATTCGGGTCGTGATCGCCGGAATCGTCGGCGAAGGTTCTCCACTCGGAGGTCTCGTCGATTGAGCGGGCTTCGAGCACGAGGCCGCACTCCGAGCAGACGGTGTCCCCCGCCGAGTGGTCGACCACCACCTCCGTGTTCCGCTTGCAGTCCGGACAATACGAATCCGACATCGTTTTGATTCGAATTGGGTTTCGATTTCGGATTGGGGATTTCTCTTCTGGGATTTGGGGTATGGAGGGAAATTAAAGATCTTTTAGCCGGTGGGGGGCTAAAGGGGGTATATATAGAGAGAGGAAAGTATGAGTCTTTATGCATCGGCGACAACTTGGGTTTGTTTTTGTTTCAGTCGGGTCCCACTTGCCCCATCTTGTAAGAATTGAAGAAGAAAGAAGGCATGTGTTTTTTTTTTTTTTTTCTTTTTTTCTTTTTTCTTTTATTTATTTATTTATTTTACTACTATCCACTTGAAGGATGATTATTTTGGGCCTTGTATATTGTTTTGGTTTATTTTCTAAAAAAGAGTGATATCTTTAATTTGTTTAATTATATTTTAAATTATAATTTTATTTTATTTTATCAAACCTGCAGCCGACCATATAGCTGAATTGTTTAATTAACTTTTAAATTATAATTTGCTATGATTTTTAATCTACAATCTTGTATAGTGGTTTGTAAATTATACGAGAGTCGTAAACTACACACATTATGCTAACAATGTATGACAAACTCAACTTAGCGACCGGTGACAAGAGATTTAATTTGGTGCAAGTAATTCATAATACTAATATTAGTATTAAGACTAAGACTAGAACTAATATTATTACTAAACCTAATAGTAACACTAACAATAATACTGATGATAATACTAATACTTACAGTAATACTAATATTAGTATTAATACGAATAATAATACTAATAGAAGTTTACATGGATATATTTTGAGTGGGTTGAATTTATAAATGAAGCCCATTACTAATCTCCTTTCTAATGGAGCAAAATACACATAGCCCATAGCCCATATTTGAAATGGGCTTTAATTTGGTTGTGGGCTATAGGCTGGATCTTGTCAGCATGATTTATATATTTTATTTCAATTTTATATTTATATTTCACCACATGTTTTAAAATTGTAAATATACGTTAATAAATATATTAATATTTATTTTATAAATATATCAATAATATTTAAAAAAGCGAAAAAAAAAAAAAGAAAGGCTCATGGGCTGTTCTTATTGCAATAATTCTGATTTTTAAGTATATATACATTTTAAATAAATAAATATATATATAAATATATGATGATAAATATATAAATATAGGGTAAATTACAAACACCCCCTGACGTATGGTCAAATTACAAAAACCCCCTCTTGTTTGGATAATTACATCTACCCCCTCAACTATGATTTTTTCTTAGACCTCCACCTTTATGGTGCCAAATCCAACATAGTCATCTAGATTCCGTGAAATGTGCTCTATTTTGTACTTGTTTTGTGTAAAAAATACAGTTTCCGGTGCACCACAAACTGATATAAATAAGCTAAAAATCACATATTATGATCATCTTGCTTCATAATGTAGAGTTTGAATGGGATAAAACGGGTACAAAAGTGATAATATTCCATATAATCTCGAAGATTCCACTAAATTTGAGGAGTTGAGGGGTGGTTGTAATTATCCAAACAAGAGGGGTGTTTTTGTAATTCGACCATACCTTAGGGGGGTGTTTGTAATTTACCCAATAAATATAATGTGAATGAAAGACATGTAGAAGTATACCATTTTCATGTGACTATCTGTCACCCACGTGGTCCAACTAAAGTTACAAATTTTTGGCTATTGTCAGATTTAATTTAATTTAATTTACATTAAATTAAAAAAAATTAAAATAATTATTATCAGTATCCAGCCAAATGGGTTTTCTTGCAACGGTCCAATTGGTGATTCTGATTGGTGTGTCAGATTTTTCTGCTGGCAAAATTCTGATCATTATACAAAGTTAATCTTTTCTTTTTCCTTTTCTGAACCTCTTTTTTATTAGGGGAAACTACAGATAAATCCCTAATCCAAAACTCAACACACAGATCAGTCCCTAGGTAGTTTCCCCAAGCAATTCAGTCCCTACTCACGCGCCTAACATGCAGTTCAGTCCCTAATAAAATGTGCAAATACTAAAATACCCTTTACTTTATACTAATTTTACATAACTTATTTCCAACCTCCAACGCGCCGTTTGTGTTACACGCTCTTTGCCCGTTACATTTCAAAGAAGGAAGAAACAACGAAGCACGAAGAATCAACAAAACGCAGAAAAATTATACAACGAAAGGAAAAATAAAAATAAACAAACCCATTTCTCGACAATGGTGAAGCAGGGTAAACAACAAGGTTTGATTTCTTTTTTCTTTCATTTTCTTGGAAACAGACCCATTTGGGTGTTGCTTAAGCTTGCAAAAAGGTTTATTTGTTGTAGAATTGCATGATTTTGAACATATCCTCTCATGGGTATTATGCCTCGACTTTATTCGGTGTTTTCCCTAATCATTAAATCGGTTCCAATATCTGTTTTTCTGTTGTTTGGGTTTGCAAATATCATTTATTTGTTGTCGAATTTCATGATTTTGTAACAGTTTCCTCATGGGTATTATTCTTCGGTGACATTAGCATGTCCCCAAAGGGTTTAACAAGGGTTTCATATAGGATATGGGAAAGAGGCTTATTGTATTTTTCGTACTGGTTCTATAGTATGTGTCATGGACAGTAATGGTATTAATAATGCATTTAGATGGTATTGACACAGGGTACTCGAAGTACTGTCCCGAAAGCATTTAGATGGTATTGACATATGGTACTAGAAGTATAATGTTTGATGCTTCTGTAGTATAAGTCATATGCCATAATAGTATTACTAGTGCCTTTGAATGGTATTACTAGTGACTTTGGATGGTATTGACATATGGTACTAGAAGTATAATGTTTGATGGTCCTGTAGTATAAGTCTTATGCCATAATAGTATTACTAGTGCCTTTGAATGGTATTACGAGTAACTTTGGATGGTATTGACATGTGGAACTTTATAGTACGTTGTATTTGTTATAATTGTAGTTTTATGTGTATGTAATTGCAGGAATTGATGTAAAAGAAGATTGCAGTCAATGATCAAAGCGTACCATATTTTTTGATGAATTGAATTGTACCAATTTCATTGACGCTTTAATGATCAATAAGTACGGGAGATGCATAAATTATGTTTTAGATGGTTATTTTAAGGTAGGTGAGAATTATTGTTGCGTTTGGAATACAAGATCCCATAAATATGTTGAATTTCATACATGATACTCATATACTATACAATATATTCATACAAGTCTACAATGCTCAAGTGTAAAACTAATATTTTCTTCAATTGTTACCATAATCGATATTGATCAACTCCCACATTGTCTCCATTCATTCTTAATAGTCTTAAAATGAAGAGTTGTGTCTTAAAATACGATCATATGGATGCATTGGCCCGACAATAATAAATAGAGTGTAACAATACTATATGAATGGCAAACATATACTTTATCAGTGAACAAATCGTACTATAGTCACGAATCACTTGTACTTCACAAGTGTATTCATTGTACTTACTTGATGAACAAAGCG